AAACAGAATAAAACAAGTTTCGTTAAATATTGAAATTAGCTTGAATTCTTCATAACCTCTGAATAGAGGGTGACCCAACAGGTCCAACTCTTACTATGGTGTATATTAGAGACCGTGTGATAAGAAATAATTTCGTGTCACTGTTATGAAAATTTCTAGCATGAGTAATTTTACATCACACTACCGTGCGCGCTCTTTTCGAAACTTCTTACTTCACTTCTTTGAAAAATAAATGGTCTTTCCTTTTACTCCCTATCAACAATCAAATATCTTTTCTTGAATTATGAATAACACGAATGGATTGAAATATTTAATTTTCTCAAAATAAACCTTCATATTGAAATTAGCTTGAATTCTTCATAACCTCTGAATAGTGGGGGACCCAACGGTTCACGGTAGTCTAGTATTTCATTAAAAATACAACATGCTGACCAATTCATTCTACTGGCTTGAAACAACTCTCTATCTTTTTTAACTAACTTGAAACATCTTTACAATTTTCACAATAAAAAGAATAAGCTTACATTTCTGAGCCAATTTTTATTCCCTTCTGAAGGGTTGAAATGAACATTCCGTGACTTAAACTGATTTAGTTAACTGCTTTGTAGCTCCGTCCTTTGTAACCTATGACTTTGAACTTAAAACCATTTGATAAGACCACACAGCTGTGTTTTATAAACATACTGTGCATTTATTACCTTCTTGTTTTAATATAGAATTATTCTAAATTTGTCAGTTATTATGAGTATATACAGTTTTTTACATAACATATAGTCGAGTTGATTTCGTTCTAGCCACCTTTGTTCCTATGTTATTTTCAGTAGCTATCAAACTGTTCTACCCATTGGTGATCTGGCTATAATACTTTACCTTGTGCAATGATATAGAAAACTGTGTCCTTCAATAGCAGGTCAGGTGATATCTCAAGGTTATAATCTCTCTTATTTTGATAAATCTGACATTACCTGTTAATCAAGGAATTTAACCAACTTATGATCAAGTAGAAGCCACATTCCAGCATCTAAGCAAGTATACACAACGTGTTTGTGTATGTGATGTTTATAAGGATTATTCATTGTATTGTATATTTTGTAAGTTCCTTTTCATTTTCATGAGCATAGTTATCTGGGGAAATTTAAAATTACTCTACAACAGGTTTCTTGTTAAATCTTCTGTTGTTCAGTAGACCTATTAGATCATTCCCAGGATACAAAATTTGACCTGGATATACCACAAAGTAAAACACTTTGTTTATGAATATACATGTGCTTTCTAAAATAAAAATGTTTAAAACTTCACATAAACATCAAATTGTATTTACTTAGTACTTTTGTAAAAACACAATATCAAGTTCAGTTATTAGACATTGTAGATTGTCTGCACTTTTCTAACTATCATTTGTCAAGTTATTTGCACACACTCATGCATGGCCATGATAAAATCATAAAACAAAGCTAGCTTGTTTATACTTTTGATACTTTAATAAATTGTATGTTGCTGTCAGTGACTAAATACAGTAAAACTGCAAATGATGCTATTAGAGTAAGAAAAAAAGGCAAAATTTATAGACTTACAAAGTTTTATTTGAAATATTTACAAGGATGTTGGAACTCACAAAATGAAGAAATTAAAATCTTGGAGAAAGAGAAGTAGTTTTGTTTTTTAATGTTTTCTTTTAAACTTCAAAACCTGAAAATCTATACAAGTACTAAATGTGATTTATTCAGGTAAAACTGAGTTAACCTTAGAGCAATAGGGCTGGTCTGCAGAATAACATGAGATTCAGCAACATATTTATTACTGTTATAACATGTTCTATCCTTGGGCAGATTTTTTTTATTTACAAGAATATTGTTATTTAGAAAGAAAGGGCTGAAACTTCACTCATCAAACTGTGAGCTTAAGATTAAGAGACAGAGAGAGCGCCAACCAAGATATTATAGTATTATATATATACCATATCTATAACACTGTATTCTCTACCACTGGAGGGCACTGTTGTGCAGCATTTGGGGCAATACCACAAATGGCAAGAACAGGTATTATTAACCCAAGAAAGGCATAGGAACAAAGGCAAATAGAATTAAATTGATGGCTTTCTTAACCATGTGTTATATGAAACCTGCACATACAAAGAATAAAGAAATTCAGAATAAATACTATAATATTTCAAGAAGGTAGAAATGTATAATATATTCATATATCACATATATATGAAATGAAGTTTATTTGTTTGTTTTAGAGCAAAGCCATATTGGAATATTTTGCTGTGTGCACCACATAGAATCGAACCCTGAATTTTAGCATTGTAAGCATGCCAATTTACCACTGTTTCATCATGGAAAGGGAACATAAAATTAAGATATTTTATTCTGCAGAAATTTACAAGTCTTTAGAAAGTTAATCTCAAGGTTTATACAATTTCATCAAATAAATTTTTTTACTGTCAATAGTCTTAAGACAGGTATATCAAATTGACTTGTCATTTTCAAACACTTGCTAGGTTTGTTAAATAAACAGAATCAGGGATTATAGAAATAAATATCTTATAATGAGGAAATGGAATTTTACACAAGAAGAAGTGTGGTATTTCCACATTGAGTTCCTTCACAGCATATCAGTAGGAAGTCAGAGAATAAACAGAATATCACAGAGCACAGGTCTTATTTTCTCTGATTTTACTGCATTTGACACAAAGAATGAGACTAGACACAAAATTGTACACAGAAAAATCTTTACTTAAAAACAGAAAGCAAAGTTACAATAATTAAATAAGACAAGAGTTCTATGTGTGCTGTTATAAACTAGAGAGAGAGAGTGAGAGTCTGTGACAACTATTTTTATTCTGTAGTTTTTTCATCCACACCTAGTCTGTTGCCATTTCCCAGAATGATGTTAATTGGTTGGAGTGGTGGAGTGCCCAATAAGCAGCAGTATTCACCAGAATTATGGACACTCCTGTATCAACCAGGAGCTCCATTGCTCATCTGTGTCTCTTTGTAGGCATGTACTAAACTCCATTCAGCCCTAAGACAGCTGGGCTGACAATCCCACCTTCTGGTGCAAACTGTCAACTGTGTTTCCTTGAGTTAGTGGTTAGACTCAAGTTGAAGCTTGCCACCATGCAGGCTATCAAGACTCATTACTTCACTTATCTTGCTGCCTAGCAAGCTATGGTGTTGCATTAGGAATATAATGTTCAGTTTTGGATTCCCTACCTTAGAAAGGACATTGAATTGTTGGAAATGGTTCAGAAAAGAGCTACTAGGATAAGAGCTGGTATGAAATGGTTGTCATATGAGGACAGGTTAAGATACTTAATTGTAAGAATGGTAGGATTAGGGGACACATATATAAATTTATACATGATGTGAGTCACCATCAGCTAAGACAGCTTTATTTTTATAAAAGAGAGGTTGGCTTTTGGAATGGGTTGCCTTCAGATGTGGTGGATGCAGTTAATTCAAGAGAATTAAGGCTTGATAAATATTATAATGATAAGATTTGGCTCTGATTGTTTTATTTTTAAAGTTTAGTGGATGGCCTAGATGGACCAAAAGGTACCTTATTATCTTTAAATTATATATGTGAAAATGTGGTTGATTTCCTACAGCTCCATACTCAAATATGTCTATCTTCATTTCATCACTGTTCCTCAATGCCCAAATGTGTAGCTATATATATATTTAATTTGGTTATTTAAACTTAATGCTAATATTAATAAAATAACCATTGTTAACCACCCTTAATTGGATGATAAATACAAACTTAAACTGGCAACAAGCATATCACAAGGGACCCTAGCTCATTTTACAGTTAGTACCAAGTGTTTCTATACTTTTATAAATCCAACAACAGATAAATCTCAGAGTTGTAATTTCACCAGAAAATACAGTTTTGTTTTTGTGTACCCAAGAAAGTTCACTGCCTTTAATGATTGTTGGATCATTATTTCTGAGGATACTCTATAAAGTATCAATAGTATGAAAATCAACTATTTAAGAAATCATAAAAAAGTATGAATAATCTTTATACTTCCGTTCTTGTATTTTTACAAGTGAACATATTAGCTATAAGTTATATGAATATTTAAACAAACATATATCAAATTAAAAGATAGACTTCAAGAAAAACTTTGGTTCTTCTATGGCAATGAATTTTATATTTTTAAACTGAAATTTTTTAGCTGTCTAGTTGACATAGTAGTGCAGCACCTCGTCTGATCCAATGTTGAGGGGGTAGTTGTGTAGGTAGAAGGATAGGTAATACAAAGTTAGTAGAATGACCAGTTGTAGACAAGGTTCCTTTTCGTTCACTTGTCTTATACAAAGGACATCTAAAAAGACAAAATAATAAACTTTAACTTATTTTTTAATATTTGTTTATTTTAAAACTCAATTTCCTAGCAGAATTGAGAATTATTTCCAATAAAAATTAACGTTTTCAATTTAAAATGATGAGTTAATAGCACTAGATATTGTTTACAGACGTGAGGCATATTTAAAAGTTTGAATTTGAATATGAAGAAATGCTGTAAGGAAAAGTTAATCATGTGGTCAACCATTCAGCCAGAAGATCTTCAATATACAAGACTCAGTGTAACATCCACTTTCAGAATTTATTTAGTCTGAATATATATTTAAATACAGTTAAATAGGAAAAGACTTAAAAATATTATAGATTACTATTAAGACTAAACATGAACAAAAAGGTATACATTGATGCTAAATCACCTAGAACTTCCTATTATTCTCAGTATAAGTATTCTCAACCAGAGATTGAGTCTGGTCAGATTTCATCTTTTGAGTACATTTATCTCCAAGTTTGACAAAATATTGCTGCCTCTGTTGTAACAATGTTAAACATTAGTTAATGGTATAATTTCATTTGACTATATTTATAAACAACGGGTTTAGTTTTGTATTAAAATGCACTTACTTGTATCTTCCTTTGTCATGAATATTATTTTTTGGAGTTGGCTTAAGCCAGATAACAGGCATTTGACTCCATAACACTTTGGGAAACTGCTCCTCTAATTGACATCTACAATGTTACATATACATATTTTGTAGCAATACTTGATTTTTTTTTTTAAATTGTCTTATAATAATTTAAAAAGAAATACTAATTGCATATACTTGTAAGTGGCATTACATATTTAAGTATTAACTGTCACTTTGCAAATTGGTTCTTTATTAGATTGCACATTCCTAGAGACATGACAACTTACAAAATTTATTTTTCAGTATAAAACACTAGTATTTATTCAATATTAATACAAAGGAAAAAAAAAAACATTAAAATAAATAGTAATGAAAAATATAATGTGAGATATATCTATCTTAAGTAGTGAAATTTCTTACAGATCTTGATCCCATCTTGCTCCATCCAGAAAAAGACCATTAATGTATGCTCCATCTTCAGGGGGTTCAGCATAATTGTCCTTGTTTAAAATCTACAAAGAAGAAGTTTATCTCACAAAATTAGGTTCATCTGTACAGGTTATAGATAATAACAAGTCTACAAAACTTAATATTTAAAAACCACCAACTAAAAATAGTTGTGATAATCTTTGCTTTGTAATAAATTTACACCACAAAAATTCTAGTTGACCATAAACAGAATAATATATCAACAAAGATTATTAGTTTTGTAGCATGCAAATACTATACATCTGACTTTCCAATAATCTGAAGTGAAAAACTTATCTACTGTTTTGTGAATCCTATCCTACCTTTTCTTATGTGTAGATTTAGCTCAGGATGTTACTTGTTTTGTAGCAGGTTTAGTCAAAGAACCTATCAATTGTTTCATGTATTGTATCCTACTTTACATTGTTTATAGATTTATCTTGAGCCATTACTTTATGTAGGTGGTCCAGTTAAAAACTTATCTATCATGTATTGTATTCTACTTTATCTTGTGCAACTGGTTTATGATTTTTTACATGGAGCAGAGGCACTTCCGGATTTTTGTGATCCAATCTTTTGACTGGGCAGAGAGAAGGTGCTCTGTAAATGCAATTTTCAGTCACGTTAACTTTAAACTTGAAAGCACCAAGAGTTGCAAGTGAAGTCTTGTTCATTTTTTCAGTGTTTCATCTCCTACCTCTATTGATCATGTTTGCTTCATTTTCAGTTTTTACTTTACACATCAACAGCATTACCACCCAGATGATGAGTATTTTTTCTTCAGTTTTTATGTTTACTTTACTTGACTGGTATGATGGGAGATTTTAGAAGATTATAGAAGATCAAGAAATGTTGGTCCAACAGAAAATTAGCACATCTAAAAGGATGGGTATTAAAAAAAAGGTTGACAGAAAATGTAGAAATTAATAGTAAGGATTTTAGTACATTATGAGTAAACAAAATATTAGGTTGGGGTAGGACCCTTGAGGGATGATAAAGAAAGGCTCATATCTGATGATTATGAGATGGCTGGATTATCAAATTCTGCTTTTTCTTCAGTTTTTACTAATGAAGATTTAAGCAATATTTCTCATTCTGAACAGCTGATAGATGGAAACAAGATGATCACATTAATTCTGAGCTCGTTAAGAAAAAATTTGGAAATTTAAAGAACGATAAGTTTCCCGGGCCAGATAATATTTCCTCAACAGTTTTGAAGGAGGTTAAGGATTGCATATGTGAGCCACTTAAAATGCTACTATTTTTTGTAAATCCTTAAATAGTGGGCAGGTGCCAGGGGATTAGAAGTTGGCTAATGGTACTCCTCATTTCAAGGGAGATTATAAAAAAATTTCCAGTAATTATAGGCCTATTAGTCTTACATGAGTTGTGGGAAAAAGTTTTGAATGTCTGATAAAAGATATTTTACAAATTCATTTAACAAAGTTCAGAATTTTATTGGATAGTCAACATGGTTTCACTACAGGAAAATCTTGCCTCACAAATCTGACATTCTCAGGTTAAGGGTGTAGCTTTGATGTAGCTGGATTTTCAGAAAGCATTTGACAAATTGCCACATAAAAAGGCTTGTAAGATATTCTCTTTATAGGTTTGGGACACAAGTTAGCTAATTGGATAGAAGAGTGGCTGGATGGAAGAAAGCAGATGGCTGTTATAAATGGAGTTCAGTCAAATTGGACTAATGTCACAAGTGGGGTACCTCAGGACCTTTGCTCTTTTTGATTTACATCAATGACATAAATGAAGGAATAGTCAATAAATTACTTTAATTTGCTGATGTTATTAAGATCTTGGGTGTTGCTAGCTGTCAGGAGGATGCTGCTGCTTTACAAAACTATTTAGATCATTTAGTTAGTTGGGCAAATAAATGGCAGATGGGTTTTAATTATAATAAATGCATGATAAGGCACATGGATTATCATAATTTGAATTATAAGTGTAATTTGGATGGGAATAACCTTAACTGTGTCTTGAAAGAAAGGGACCTTGATGTAATAGTTGATCAGTCTCTTAAGCCGTCCAAGAAGTGTGCTGTTGCTAGTGGTAGGGCAAATAGGATTTTAGGTTGTATCTACAGAGATATTGGATCCAAGTCTAAAGAGGTGATAATTTCATTGTATAGGTCACTGATTAGGCCATATTTCGATAGTGTGTCCAGTCTTGGGCTCCTTACCTTAGGAAGGACATTGAATTGTTCAGAGGAGGGCTACTAGAATGGTGCATACAAGAAGAGGTTAGGATATCTAAAGTTTTCTCTTGAAAAAAAAAAAGAGTTAGAGGGGATCTGATTGAGATGTTTAAGATTGTTAAGGAAACTGACAGTGTTGATGTATCATCTTTTTTCATACTTAATGGTGAGAATGATAGGACTAGGGGACACAAATATAAATTTTGGCAGGGGTAGGAGTCATCTTCAGCTAACAGGGTGATTGGCCTTTGGATGTTGTTGAGGCAGTAAATTTAAGTGAGTTTAGAATAAAGCTTGATAACTATATGAATGATAAGGGCTGGCTCTGAGGTTTTTCTTTTTAATTAATAGTTTTAGTTTAGTTTAAAGGATGGACAGCCTAGATGGACCAATAGGTCCCTTGTTGTCTCTAAACATTGTTATTGAAATTTCAACTTTACAACCAACAACAGTATTACCACCTAGATGATGATAATTTATTCTTTGGTTTTTACTTTACTTTACACATCAACTTTACAACTAAAAATATTATGATCACCTAGATAATGAGCATTTTCTTCAGTTTTTACTTTTACTTTACTTTACACTTTCCAACCAACAATAGTTTGACCACTTAGATGATAATAATTTATTCTGTGGTTTTTACTTTACTTTACACATCAACTTTACAACTAAAAATATTATGATCACCTAGATAATGAGCATTTTCTTCAGTTTTTACTTTTACTTTACTTTACACTTTCCAACCAACAATAGTTTGACTACTTAGATGAGGATAATTTATTCTGTGGTTTTTACTTTACTTTACACATCAACTTTACAACTAAAAATATTATGATCACCTAGATAATGAGCATTTTCTTCAGTTTTTACTTTTACTTTACTTTACACTTTCCAACCAACAATAGTTTGACCACTTAGATGATGATTATTTATTATTCAGTTTTACTTTTATTTTACTTTACAATTCAAATTTACAACCAACAATACTCTGACCACTAAAAATGATAAGCATTATTTATAAGCACAACGTAATATGGCAATGAGCATCTTTTACAATTTTTATTTATGTATTTTAATGAGTTTGTGCTAACTTTTCAAGTGCAAAAGAGGCTATTAGGGGTACTATGAAAATCAGATTAAAGAATTGTGGTGGCAACTATCAAAATATTTATGGATTTTATGAAAATTTCAAAGAGTATACAATGAATGCTGAATGATTTGTATACTATAATAGTAAATTCTGTTCCAAAAGAAAGTTAAGAAGCACAGAACTATGGTAATAAATGCTACAATGAGATATTGCAATGTGACAAACACATTTTCCACTTAAACTCATCAAAAGGGCTAAAAGTTTTTGTTTTTATGACCAAAATCAAGAAGAAGGGGGAAGAAAACTGTGCAATAAGTGGCAGTATTAAAGAAATTAGTTGGGTTCAGCACACTGAGAGATAGATTGATCTGTGTATTGAAAAGTGAAAGGTATCAGAAACAACTTTTATTAGAAGATAACTTGAGGAAAGCTGTAGAGTCTGCATAGAAGTCACAAAACCAAGTGCTGCTTTAAATTTAAACCATTATTATCAAGTGAAAAGCTTTGCAAGTTTGAATAATACTAGTAAAGATTACATTGTAAAGAGTAGGATGGTTGATAACTACAAAAATAAAGGTGTACACCAGTAAAAGTTAATGATAAGTCAAACACTGATACTGACACTGAATTTTCATTGTATGTACTGATTCTTAGAGTGTACTTTTATAAGGGTTAACTGGTGTCTTGCAATATGGTATTACTCAACATTTCTTGATATGTTTTGCATGAAACCAAAGTGACTGCAACACCTCTTCTACAAAGTTCCATTTTCAGTAGTTTTCCAATCTGATGAAGAAGTGGTACCATGAAGTATAACTGTAGTAAAAGTGAAATTGAATGTGCATAATGAACTATTCAAACTGTAACTGGTTGATGGAGACTATTCCTCAGTCATAAAGAAAATAAAACTTAACTGGCAAGAAATAAAACACAATTTCAGTGTTATAGTGATTGCCTTTTTGAAGTTCTAGGAATCCATGTTACTGTGCAATATACAATAAAGCCATATATTAATGTAGAACTGAACAATTTGGTGGAAACCACAGTTTTGTCACCAGTGAAGTGTAGTGACTGGGTAACTCCAATAGTATCTGTATTAAAATAAAGATAGTCTGTAAGGATCTATGGTAACTTTAAAGTTAAACTGAAGTCAGTGCCGTGTATAAAACCTATACTACACACTAAATAGCTTTTTGCATCCTTGGCTAGATACCAGCATCTCAGCAAGTTGTATTTATCTAATACTTACCTTTAAATAACAGTGAAGGAAAACTCAAGGATGTTACAGACAATCATTATGTAAAAAAATCTGAACTCTTACAAATGGTTACCATTTGGAATTACTTCAGTCCCAACAATGTTCCAGACTAGGTTTTTCAAGGTCTGTCTAGCATTCACTGTTAACTTGATAATATCCTAATGATAGGTAGAAATGATGTTGCCACTTCAAGAACCTTGACAAATTGTTACAAAGCCAGAAAGTACAGTTTCAATGTTCAGAAGGACAAATCTCAATTTTTAAAGACATATTTGGAGTATCCAGGATTGTAATTGATTTAGCTTACTTATGTCACCAGACAAAGAGACAGTAACCATTTATGGGACTGTTAAATTACTAGACCCACCCTTTGAGTGTATTGATTTGTAAGGATAAACCATGGGACTGTGACAAAACATTTAAACAAGTTAAAGAGCAGCTGATGTGTTGATCTACAATGATACAAACATTCCACCTGCAAGAA